GGTGGAAACCCCCTCACGAAGTGGCTGCAGTGTCTGTCATTAAAATAGCAAATGTTCCCACGACGATAAAAACGGAGGCTAAGTGTGTAGGATAGAATAAGGATACAAGGGAGAAAAATTTGGAAAATAAAAAGGAGCGGAACAACAAATAGGTTTTAAGTGCACTTACAACTGCAAAAAATAATTGATAAGAAAAAGCTAATAAGTGCTTCTACTAAACAAACTGGGGTGCAGAAAAAAAGGACAATATGTTCACAGATGGGGACTTTAAAGAAAAAAAAAAGTGAGTCAAACAAATATCAGGTGCACTGACAAGGGTAGATGTAGGGAGATTGTTGTGTGTGCAACAAAAGCCACATAATGGACACCTAGGCAGATCACTCTGAATAAATAGGTAACAAAATTCTTCCATATTCGGCTCGTTGTCTGTTAAAGAGGCACCGCAAGACCTGCCAGAGTCCGATAGGAATGTAGTTGAATTATTAAAACACTCCCACGGAACACTTTATTATCTCGCTCGTGCCTCTGAAAAAAAAGGACAACAACCAGACTGATTAAGTGATACAATACAAAGCACAAAAACAACCTTTTCTCATATCATAAAAACAATACAATGAAAAGGTAAACAAGTAATACAATTATTTATAAAATAAACTAATTATATCGTTATATTAGTTAAATATCTTTTTGATTCAAGTTAGTAAAGCAATTTTTGAATATTTTATGTATCTAAATTTGTCTCGAGGTTATTTTGTGCCAAAATAAAGTCTGGGTTGACCCATAATTTAAAAATTTTTTCCGGCAATTTTTTTTATGCGGTTTCAGCGCACAAACTGTACCAAAATACAATAAGAATTAGTATTTGTTTTCCTGTGTCCTAAACTTGTCCACGTTACCTTTTTCATTTATACTCACCAAGTCCTCGGGCCGCCACGTCCGTGGCCACGAGGATGTTGCTGTTTCCATTTCTGAACTCCTTTAGGACGTAGTCTCGTTCCTGCTGACTTTTATTACCATGCATACAAACAGCTGGCCATCCCACACGTCTTATGTTTTTGGTAATATCCTCAACTTTTCTCTTGGTCTCTACAAAGATGAGGATCTTCGAATTGGACTCACAGTTTAAGCCCACTTCTTGGAGTAAATTGTTTAATCTGCAATTTAAGAAGAAAGTAGTAGTAATCATAACGGAGAAGTTGGATTTGGGATTTGAGCTCACTTTTGTTCCTTTTCCTGTTCTTGGCAGACGTCCACGATCTGGAGAATATTATGGTTGGCGCTCAATTCCATGGAACCGACGTTTATGTGTATGTAGTTACTCAGAAAGTCAGATGCAAGTTTTTTGACTTCCTTGGGCCATGTTGCAGACCACATGAGAGTCTGACGATCGGGACGGACCTGTTGTAAGATTTTTCTGATTTGGGGCTCGAAACCCATGTCCAGCATCCTATCTGCCTCATCCAGAACCAGATAAGTGCATCGTTTCAAAGATGTGGTTCCTCTCTCCAAAAAGTCGATCAGTCTTCCAGGAGTTGCGATGACAATTTCGACGCCACGTTCAAGATCGCGCGCCTGGGGCCCTTTCGGAGCACCTCCAAAGATGCAGGTGTTACGAATGTAAGAGGAGGTGCCAAACTCATTAGCAATTTTTTGGATTTGCTGGGCCAGTTCTCGGGTTGGAGCGAGAACAAGTACTGTTGGTCCGTCTCCTGCGTTACGAGTTTCTTGGGAATTGATGTGCATAATGGCTGGGAGCATGTAAGCCAAAGTTTTACCAGAGCCAGTTTGGGCAATGCCCACTAGGTCTTTTCCACTAAGGGCGATCGGCCACCCTTGGGCTTGGATAGCAGTAGGCTCTTCATAGCCCTGTCTCTTGATATTTTCCATCAAATAATCGGCGAAATTTGTTTCATCGAAAGACTGAATAGGATGAGGAACATCTTTGCCTTCTACACGTATCATTTTAGAACGACGATAATGGTCGACCTCAAATGAGGTACGTTTAGATATTGATGGATGGGGGACGTAGTCGTTTTTTAATGGGGTCAAATTTTCAGCTTCCCAGTTTGGTTTCTGCATGGGGGAACGATTGTTCGATCCATAATTGTTGCCCCTGTTATCGTCGAATCTCTTTACTCCATTTGTACCGTTATTGTAACCGTTTTGACGAAAACCGCTGTTTTGATTTCGGTTATTAAAACCATTATTATTTCCATAAGCACGAGGAGTATATGCGTTATTCATGTTGTTTCTGAATGACCTAGCGAAAAAATACCAAAATGTTACCTCTTCGAAACTACCCCGTATATGAATAATTCTGTCATATAACTTTTTGAATTCGCCATGTATTGACAATACTTAAGTTCTCATTTTTGAGAATAATAATTTTTTGGGAAATTCTCCTTGAAAATTGATGGCCCCTACATTAGTTTTCAAATGCATTTGTTTATTTTTATGTTATAAAATTAAATTTAAATGCTCCCAAGTTAGTCATATAAACTTCTGAAGAAGTTAGTTTGGCGAAACAACTGTCGTGTAACATTAATTTGTGAGACTGCAAATTATGTTTTATATTTTATTTTTAAAATGCTTTCGTAACAAATTAATCATTCCATTTAATATCCACCTGTGATTATCGATTGCTTATGCAGAAATAATGCTAACTAAAAATAACTTTAACTTTCTACGCAGCTGCCATTTTATTGAGCTTACTATTGAGAACAAAGGCGGTAGCCATTTTTTGCATTATTTTGTGCAATCGATCATCAGAATAACTTAAGGTTTCTCCTAATTAAAGCTTAATAACATGGATAAAAACATATTTTATTCATTTGCAAGAGATTTAATGAGAATAAGCATTTAATATACTCATTTTTTCGACAGACAGCTGTAGTAATACATCTAATAAATGTTTCATATTAGATACATATAATTACCATCATCTCATTAATCTCTTAAAGAAATTATTGATACAAAGCATAAACGAACTTAAAATTAGCAAATATAAATGTCTTACATTTTTAAAGATGTACAGGGACACTACACTTCAAAATATAACTTGCTTTAAACTATTACGATGTTACTCGTAACGAAGGTGACGAACAAGTGAAAGAGGAAATGCGTCATTTGTTCCACATACCCCATCTAGGAAACGAGTAGCGCTAGGTTGGTGATTTCTTGAACTAATTTTTTTAAAAAAATTAAATAAGAGGGATTTTCAAAATTTACCTCCCTTTATTTTTTAAATATACGTTTTTGAAACCTTTTTCAACTGAAAATATTGAGAACTCATATATACCTACTTCTCTAAATAGTACAGTATTATAAACACTTCATTTCTAAGCTACTATTGTAGATTTTTCCACAAAAATCAGATTCAGAAGTGTAAATAAATAAAATAACTGACTCTACTTCAGAAGAAATATTTATTTCTTTTTAGTTATATATAAAAATCGGTTTTAAGTAATAGCTACTATATATCAATCTCTAAATACACCGAGTGGTATTTAGTCAAATGTTTATGTAATAGATTTCTTTGAGAGAAGGTTTTTGGACAAAATGTGCACTTAAATGGTTTACTTTGTAAATGTACCATTTCGTGATTTCTTAAGGAGCCCTGCTGTGCAAAGGACTTGCCACAAGTCAAACAATTGTAGGGCTTTTCTCCGGTATGTGTCCTTTCATGAACTAGCAGTTGGTTCTTTTGAGCAAATGACTTTTGGCATCTCGTACACTGAAACGGTTTCTCTGGCAAATGTAATGCAGAATGATTTCTCAAAATTCCTAATTGGGTAAATGATTTCTGACATACAAAACACTTGAAAGGTTTGTCTTTCCTATGACTTCTGAGATGAGCCTCTAAATTAGTTTTTTGTGTATACGACTTGTAACACATTTCACATTTATACGGTTTATCTATAATATGAGTTAATTCATGCGTTTTTAAAGTTCCTTTTGTTGAAAAGGCTTTTCCACATATTTCACATACAATCGGTTTCCTTTTACCGGACATTTTTTAATTTGTCCATGTAATTAATACAGCAGCAGCTCACGTTTTTATTCAAGAAAACGAAATAACTACGTTTACAGAAGGAATCATATCCAAAATTAATGAAAAATTAAAAAGAATAAATTTTTTGACAATTAAAAGTAGGGTTAGGTTGTTTTAAACGTTTGAAGGTAGTTTCATCCATTTTTCTTTGGTTGGCAATGGAGATGTAATTGGTAGAATTTAAATCACTATTTTTAAATGAACTGTCACCTTATTTTATAACGGTCAAATTGGATAAATACTTTATTTTTCTTAATTTATAACCGAAAAAAACGATTAGAAAGTGAATTTAATGTTACCATAAACATTTTGGAATATGTTTAATTGATAGAGTTCGTTTGCAATTAAGTATTTGGAAACAATGGATTCGTTTTATGACGAACCCCGAAGTGCACCTGTTCCTTTGGCTTTTAAACAAGTAATTTAGAGTACTATTAGGTTTAAATATGAAAAAGACGATGCGTTTTTTAGGTTTTCACGAAACCTGTTGTGTCCAGCCCATCAATTATACTAAACAGTGATATTACCAATCAACAACTTGGGCCAACAACTTCCACAAATAATGCATATTCTTACGAATTTTGGAAACAAAATCAGGGCAAATGCACGTATAATAATTCCTACACTAAACCTTTAAGCAGTTGTGATAAGGTATATAGTCAAAAACTATTCAATAACAATAGTTTTCGAAAGCAAGTGAGGTTTGAAAGTCCCCTACTACATGCATCTGTTACTCCTAATAGAATTAAAAGGCCAGCTGATGTTCAGCAACGTTTTACTTCCCCCAGTCTAAGTGGCTATGAAAAAAATATGGATCCAAAGAGGTATCCTTTGAATTTAGTTCCTTCAAAACCTTTTGAGGAAATTTATATGGCAAATATACCTAGTAGAAATTTAGATTTGAGTATGGTAGACCCTAATAAGTCTTACTTAAACCATGGTAGTTGTGATATTGAAAACTTAAACCCTCTATACAAGAAGACAGGTGTAGTAGCTAAACCTGATCATTTGAATAAAAGAGCAGATTGTAACAGGAGAGTTTTAGAAGGTTTAAATAGTAATGCCATAAAAAATAACGAAAAACGCTGTGCAATAGATCCAAAAAGAGGTGTAAATGAGGTGGTTGTTGATTTATACAATTATAAATATGAAAATTTTAAAAAGAACCCTGGTGTTCACCTCAGATGTGATTATGATACAGTAATTAAAAGGCCATCAGAACAACAAAACTGTGCTAGCAATGATCGAATTGTAAATAAAATGGATCAGTCCATACAGACACAAGAAACTGCTGTTTGTCTTGCTGAAAGCAAAGATTCTAATGAACCTACAGTCAAAGACCTTCTACAGATAATGAAACAGCAAAATGAACAGCTTCTGTTGTTGCAAAATCAGGTAGCAATGCTACTTGAAAATCAAAAAAAAAGGGAACCACCCGAAGTCTCTCCAGCATTGAAAGAGATTGTGGCTCCACCTTCTAAGGACAACCCACAAATTTTACCTCCTCATAAAAACCTAATCAATACTCGTCCCCTTTTTCAAAACCCTAATAAATATTCTATTGATGTTATGACTAGTTTTGAGGTGTCAATAAGACCCCAAGTAAAAAGCAATAAGGTTTTTAAAGAGCACTTAAATCACGAGCCGAAAATTCAGGAAATAACAGAGATTGAAAGCAATTTTTCCAGTAATAATAACAGAACAGAAGATGTAAAGAATACAAATTTATCTTTGGCATTAGATGAGCCATTGAAAGTTCCTGAGCAGTCCCATAGTCCTGACAATAGCATTCACGTCGAAATGCAGGATTATAGCTCAGAGTAAGCAATATTAATTATAAAACCAAACTCACTTTTAAAACATTATTATTTATTATTTTTTTAGTAGTGATGACGAAAATCCAATAAACGTTGGTTGGACTTTATATGATAATATTGTGGTAATTATATAATCATTTTTTGTCTTTATTAGGGTTAACAGTGATAATTTTATAGGGTCAAGTCAATCAGGTTCTTAAAAAAAAGAGTAAAAACGAAATTTGTAGAGATAAAAAGTTTAATCCTCTTCAGGCAGTTAAAGAGGCCACTATTAATCACTTAAAGACCATGGGAATTAATGTTCCTATTGAAAATTTGGATGATGTTAATTCTGGGTAAATTTTAAATCGAATTTTATTAAATTTGCGATTATTTGATTGAACTTATTCAATATTTAGATGCGATAGTAGTAATTCGTCGAATAGTAGCTGCAGTCCAACAGAAATAAGTTTTGCTGTTAAACAGCTCCTAATGAAATATATGCCAGATGAACAACTGGCAAAAGTGGCCACTGAGAACAGTCAGGAAAAGTTTGGGAACAGGCGTTCAGATTTTTCCTTTGCTACTCTTCAATATATGCAAAAGTATAACTTGTTAGCTAAAGGTATATTATTTTCATTTAATAACTTACTGAGCAAAGTATTTAAATACTGTATTATTCCAAATTAGCTTTTTATTGCATTTTTAGAAATTAACGTTATATTTTCTTTTTAGAAAATAAAACTATACCAGCACAAATGTGCTCCCCGGTGAAAACAAATGCCAATAAAATTTTGGACATAACTGCTTTGAAACAGCAGCCTAAATTAATGTAATTTTTTTATTATTATTTTATAATTATTTTGTTATTTAAGTAATTTTATATACGACTCGGGAAGTTATTTTATCATTTCTAAGCAGTAAAAGCAATAAAATATTTCTATTTTTTTATGTTTTGATTACAATTAGTAAAAGATTCAAAACGCGTTTATAATTAGACATTGAATAAATTATTTACATGGTCTTTCTAATTAGAATAAGAGGATTCTTATCTGCAAAAAAAACTTGTACTATAATTTGACTAGAAATCTTCTCCTGTTATACACTAAATGATTCTCCACAGCCACAAGTTCCCTTTATATTCGGATTATTAAACACAAATTCGCTGCTTAATTTGCTTTCTACGTAGTCCATCTCAGTCCCTAAAAACCATTAATTAGTTGAATTGTTTACTTATAAATTAGCGAATACACTAAATACCTAATAGTGTTAGCTGGGCCTTTTTATCTATAAAAATTCTGACACCATCTTGCACAACCTCTTCATCCATTTTATCTATAAAAATTACCCTTTTTAGGGTTTCCTAGAGTTTAAAAGAAAGACTTACCTTTTTGCGTTGCATAATCCAAAGTGTATGACAAGCCATTGCAGCCTCTCTGTCGAACACCAATCTTTAGTCCAACCTATTGCAATAAATTATAGTTAAATACGATTGAATATAGGTTTATAGAACTTACAAATTCTTTTTTTCCATTTAACAGTTCTTTTACTCGATTTACAGCTGAAGGAGTCTGAAAAATTAGTCATTTTACTTTAAGTAGGTTATGTTCTTAAATATTATATTTTTGTTGCTTACAAGAAGTAGGGCTGCTCTTGTGGGTAGAAGTCTTCTGTTTTTCACAGCTCGAACTGTAGCAGTTGCCACCGATTTGGCAGCCATGGTAATTTAATTTAAAAATACATTCTAAAAAGTTTATTTTTAATATATAGTGAAAGATATATACACGAGAGGGCTCTGAAAAATTACCAAAACATCGATCTAGGGGAATATTGGTGCTAGTGTTTAACAATTGGTTATCCTGTAACTTAACTGTCAAAGAGACAGCTAAAACATCTGTGTTTTGTCGTTTTGTCAAATTAGCACAATTTTTTTTGGAAATAAAAAGGCGAATGTGAATTTGTTGATCGTATCCTTTACAAGGCCTTTTTGGTAACATAAAGTGCAATAGTTTCCCCACAAGAGGCACTTAGGATGAGTTTTCTTTTGTAAGTGGACTTTGTTGTCTCAGTTGAATGAACATTTTCATTATCATGCTATTTTTGTCTGAAATCCAGAAATAGAATTGATCAATATTTCCGAAATGGTTTGTTTTGCAAAGTACAATTAAGTAACTAGCGTATCTTTTAGTGGGAGTCGTTCTTCCAAAACATTCAAACCTAAAAAAAATATACCTGAGGGAACACATCAGTATGAGCTGATGAAACATGCAGCTGCCACTCTAGGTTCAGGAAACCTTAGACTGGCAGTAATATTACCGGAGGGCGAGGACTTAAATGAGTGGGTTGCTGTTAACAGTAAGTTGAAAACTAAAATTGATTGAGAAGATGTTGCAAAAAGTCATGTAACTTTTAGCTGTTGACTTTTTTAACCAAATTAACATGCTTTATGGCACAATAACCGAGTTTTGCACAGAAGAGAGCTGTCCCATAATGTCAGCAGGTCCAAAATACGAATATCATTGGGCTGATGGTCATACAGTAAAAAAACCAATTAAATGTTCAGCTCCAAAATATATAGACTATTTAATGACATGGGTGCAAGATCAGTTGGATGATGAGACACTATTCCCATCAAAAATAGGTAGCTAATTTACCCAGTAAATACTGGTTTTAAAAGGTTGTTACATAAGTGGTGTTTCAGGGGTACCTTTTCCTAAAAATTTCCTCTCTATTGCCAAAACAATATTGAAAAGGTTATTCAGAGTCTACGCCCACATTTATCATCAGCATTTTACTGAGGTTGTGCAATTGGGTGAAGAAGCCCATCTTAACACATCATTCAAGCATTTTATATTCTTTGTTCAGGTATTGAATCATTTTTTAAGAATACATTGTGTCACAAATTCTGATCTAAACATTAATTATTATGTTTTGAGAGGAAATTGGGACACAAAACAGTTGCAAATGGAAAGAAGAATATATAAGTTTATTTTTGTAGGAGTTTAGTTTGATAGAGAGGCGAGAATTGGCTCCTCTGCAAGAATTAATAGACAAATTGACGGCAAAAGAGGCCCGATGAACGATCGAAATACACAAAAGACAACTCTAACAACACCCTTCTTAATTTTATTTTTGTTGGCTATAATCTTTCTTTAATTTATATGTCCCTTCTCCTTTACTTTACACTAAGCAACAGTGATATAGTTGTTAAGCAGTATAAAAAAGAAATAACGATTGATTAAGGCACAAAATTAGTCAAGAGCCATCAGGGAAGCTCTAGGGTTACACTCGCCTGTTAAAAATGACACAAAATTTTAGGTGTCTTCTTCAACGCAATGTTTAGACTGTTGTTGCACTTAATAATTGCTTAGGGTTCGATTTTATCTCACAGTATGCAGGGTGAATTTTGTATTTATGTATGTGTAGCTTACATTTAGTCTATCATATTTCGACTTTACATAATCAAATGACAAATAGGTTCCTCTTTACACCCTGTATAAATAGTTTAGGGTGTTCGTTATACAGTACACTCCCTATTTATATTTATAGAAATAGAAGAAAAAAGAAAATATTTAACTGTAGTCAAATCACTTCATTACTTACTGTATCTGTCGATATCAGTAAAGAGTGATTTTTTTAATTGAATTGACCACATTTTTTATTCATTTATTTTAATTTTTTTTTTAACAACCATTGCTACAGTTTATTTATTATTTTATATATTGTGATAGTTTCTTTCAGTTCTGCACTGCCTTTTTCTTTATAGTAGACCAAATTCAGTTTTTTATATTTGTAGTTAAAAATTTACTGCAAACGACCACCGTTACTGTATTGTAATGTTAAATATTTTTTTTTCTTTGATGACAACGGTTAGAACGACCGGTGAAAAAATTGTATGTGACTTCTTGTTTCTGTACAAAATTATTGTATCGATAATTTTGATACAGCTAAACGCGACTTTGGGCCTTATCAATGATAATATTTTTGATAAGAAGAATTTTAGCGATCTGGCAAAAGCAATAGCATCATTACTAACGTCGAATATTTTTATTGCGTCGCCGTCGACTAGTTTTTAACTTGCAGTACAATATCGTGTTATAATTTATTATTGAACTTCTCGGTCTTTTTGATACATACCTATACATTATACATATTATTGGCATTTTAAATAATATGTCGCCCTGTAAAATTTTATACATATAAATATTTGTTAATTATTAATGTAGTGAATAGATATTGTCATTTTTTTTGTTTTTAATTCTATTTATTTTTATTAAGCACATTAATTACTATATAGTATATAGAGAGCCTGTTTGCCTGCTTTTTTAGAGAATAAAAAGAAATGTATATACGTCGCAATCATCAAAAATTTAAGCCACTTAATAAAACGGCAAAACTTGTTATGTGGCATCAGATACTTAGGTGTAATAATGTAGGTGTATCTCAGATGAACAGATAGCGCAGCGAATATTTTTTCAATTACACAAATAATTAAACAATTTGCGAGTTGTTTTGTAAAGGATTTCAACTTTTAATAAAAAAAGTATATAAATTATGACACATTATCAATTTCCTCTTTAATCACCCTAAGTCTACTGGCATAATGCAAGTAGAAAAAACAAAACGCTATCACAAAATCACTGCAAAATTTGCAGCACTTGGTTTTTTTAAGCTTGTAATTGTGGCTAGAGGAATAGGTGCATAACGATACAATTAATAGGTCTAGTATAATTCGATCTAAAAGTAATTTACACTTAAAAACAACTAATAACGTAATTTAGAATCATTTTATTTATTTATACTTCTATTACATGAAGTATTAAAGGAATTACATACAATAATAAAATAAATTTCCAAAGTACACCCTATATTCACTAACAAGAAATCACCTACAAAGTTTAATTAACATGAAAACACAAACTGATACAATGAAACTAAAGTTAATACATTACATTTATTTTAATCTTTTGCAATCTAAAATTAGTTGCGGTTGTTCTTTTACGATGAAGGGGGTGGGGGTGGCGGAGCAGTTAACAATGTGCTCACGTCGATACCGGGCGGGGGCGGAGGAGCGGCTAAATTAGTTGGCGGCCAACCAAACGGCGGTGCTCCAGGTTGCCAAGGGGGCATGTTTACTGGCGGGGGGATGGTTGTAGACGCCGTAGCGTTTGAAGATGTTGTTACGGTCGTGCTCACTATCGAAGCTCCAGGAGGAGGCGGTTGATTGTTTACAATGGGTGGTGGCATCCAGGGCATTCCCATTTGGGGCGGACTCGAAGCTCCGGGCGGTGGCGGTGGGGGCATTATTCCCGGGGGACCCGGTGGCCAACCCATACCTGGCGCAGCACCCCACGGAGGTGGTGGTGGCATACCTTTAATATAGAAAGACAATTTTAAGTTCGATTTAATGTGGGTACTGACATTAACAAAACTTACACATTGTGTTCATTCCGTTGGCCATGGGAGGCATCATAGGACCGCCGCTAGCTAGAGGGGGTGGCATTAATGGTCGCGGGGCCATTTGTTGTTCGAACATGTTAATGCCTGTGTTCATTTTGCGTTGAGGCGTCGCACTCATACCGTTTCCGTTGGCATTGGTTGTGCCAGGAGGGGGTGGACCTTCGCCTAATTCAGCCATTAAAGACATATACTCTTCATCGATTTTTGCTTTCTCGCCAACAACAGGTGGGCCACCTTGGCCGGGTCTTTTCTGGCGACAATCGCGCGCTATATGTCCAGCCGCCCCACAGCTCGAACAAACAATGTTGTTGGTGATGTTTGGCTTGTCTGGGCACTGCAAAGAGAGCAAATCAAGCACTGGAAACAGTAAATGGATTAAAATTAATTTACCAGCCATGATTTATGATCGGTGGCTCCGCAGTTGTTACACCTCAGACCGTCGTTTTCTCTAAGGGTACCGTTTAGTTGGGCCAGTTCTCTCAGTTGCATTCTACGAAGGTCATTTTGACTCTCGGGAACCTCTACTCCTTGCCTAATAACTTCTTTTATCTAAAATGTTTAATAAATTAACATAAATAAACGCAAACATAACGCTATCGAAAGAGCGGTACCTTTTCAACTGCCTTTTTAACATTTTCGGGATTGGTTGCTGTAATATAAGCATGCAAGGGCTCGTCTTCGCCTGGCAAAGGCTGACCATCTTTGCGCCCTACTTTACCCTCTTTGACGCTCCCTTTGCCCCGTATTATGATCTTAGCCCCCGTCTCTTTTTCCATTGCTAAGTAGAAATAATATATAAATCAGTTTTGTACAATTCCATAAAAATACAACTGCTCACTCTTTAAAGTATTTCCTCTGGGTCCAATTAGGAGACCTACGAAATTAATTTCTGGGTGCTCCTCTTGCGGAATCATCACCTTATCGCTAACACGAATGACAGGCGGCCTGTAAAATAGCCAATTACATTTTGGACAAATATATTGAAAGTTAAAACTAACTTGTAGTCTACGGGGGGCTTGAAATCCGGGTTTATTTGTTGCATTTTGAGAACCAAATTGTGTCTTTCTTCCTCTAATCTCTTCCTAACTCTGAATTCTCTTGTATTCAATCGTTTGCCATCACTGCTATAAATTGGTTCAGGTGAGGGGGACCTGTTAGAAGAAATGAGACAGAAAAGAATTAAAAGGGTGCAATACTTCCCCTACATTTCACCACCAATCTATTATAAAACCTGATGGTTCGATGTAAGGCAAAACGTACACGGTTTTTTATTTATTAAAACTAGCGAATTTGAATAACTAAATAATCTGTGGGGAAAAAAGGTTTGCAATTTATTTAAAAAATTAAATGATAAAGTGAATTTTATGTAATTTCTGAAAATAAACAATCTGATTAGAAGGGACGAATAAGATCAATTAAATGCTAAACTTTGAAAAAAAATCTTCAAGTTATAAATAGGCTGAAATGAAGATAAATTATTATTATTTTAGCTGAAAGTAAAAATTTTAGGTTTTAAAAATATGTATATATGTATCTGAAACTAACTAATTAGATGAATTAATTAATTAAGTAACATACCAACTTCCAATTTATATCCAATAACAACAATTCAAAAAGAAAATAATTTATTTGAAAATTAGAAGTTGGTTTTCCTATTGGGATTTAAAGTACAATTTTCTGATAGTTCTTCCAATAAATTAGCAAATTAATTATAATTTAAATCCCCTGAATGCTCTCTTATTCCTAGAAGAAGGAAATAAGTTAATTATTATTTTTTATCGTTGCCAAACCACTGTTGGTGACTATTTTAAGATGTCTGGCAGATAAAGAGGAATGCCCCACTATATTGATTACTACAGCACCTTTCTTCCGGATTGGCAGGAATCCCCAAGTCTCCTGAACGTAGTTTGCGACTCACTTCTTCAATCTGCAGCTGAACTGTAATAAAACGGATTAGAAAAGGGCAAACGCCCTTATGTTAGAAAGCAGGTCTCATTATTAGCACAAATATAGTCAAAATTAATCAAAAATGATCCCAGACACTTTTTCAGACTGAATAGACCAAGGTCTATCAAACTTACCACCACAACATCAAACTTAATGTCAATAATGCTAATTAATTATTTGTCTGAAAATATCAATTAAAATTAAACAATCAGTTTTAGAGTAATTTTCTCTATATAATTATCAATGTTCTTTGTTGTCTTATGGTATGGCACCTGCTAATGCAGCTGAAAAATACTGATTAGTATACTTATTATCATTTGTATACTTACTATAAACAGTCTGGGGGTTATTGTTTTCATATTAAACTTGTCCAGGTCAGAAAAAGAAATGAAATCTAGCCCTTGTCAAATACATACTCACCTCTATCTTAATAATTATGCTTACAGTTAACAACTAATAAGTTTTATAGGGAATAATATATGACTATACAGATACTTACGCAAATAAGCTTGTTCCTGTTCCTTGCTCAGGTTACTGGGGAGGATAGTGGGAAGTCCAGGTATAAAAATTTTTTCATGTTCGCCCCCTGCCCAACGAGACCTACGTCTACGACGTCTTTCTTCCTCGGTTTCCTCTGTAAATATAGTTACAGTGCATTACATATACTATCTATTAATTGATATGTTACATAATAATCAAACAGTTTTTGAGACCTACCCCCATACTGCGATCCACTGGACTCATTTGCCTCTTTTTGGCAAACTAGGGACGCAAAGTTTCGTGAGGCTGCAATGGTGGCCAAAGTTTCGGCCAGTAACTTTTCTCCATCAAACTCTGAAGTCTTTTCGGGGCTCTTTTCGCGGCCCTTGCTTTTGCTTTCACTTTTGCTTCTGGATCTCCTGTCCCTTTCCCTTCGTTCACGATCACGTTCGCGATGCCTGTCCCTATCACGGTCCCTGTCTCTACTACGTCTCCTTTTGTCACGATCCCTAGATCGATCACGTCCCCTATCGCGATCGCGGTCCCTGCTTCGATCCCTATGCCTTGAGGAACCCATTATTCAAAATAATGTGCAAAACTCGTTACAAAGACTTATTTTCAGCACTGTTGGGGTATTTGCCAGCGTTTAATATAACGTTATTTTTTAATTAATGGGTACGAACACCTCAATAGTGACTATACTGAATGACTGAATAAACTTTCTCCGCCCCTTGAAGCATACGTCACTTTAGGTTTCCTTTTGATTTTTGAGGGTGGTTCACGTTATTCAACAGTAAACAGTCTTTATTGAGGTCACTGTATTGTTTTCATTGTTTCTGGAATCATCTCATCATTACGTATGGTTAAGTACTTAAAATGGGATCTTATTAGAATTGCAAAACGTTTTGTTTACGCCACGAATTTACAAGTTTTTTATTTGGTGTGAACAGAGCCTCGTGACTATTCACGTTGATAAATTGTGCCTTGTACCACACATGCGCAGTGTGTTTGTCAAATTTGTATTTATACACGAAGCCATTTTGTTACATTACACGCAATTGTTTATAAGTATTTATCATTTTGTAACAATTTGTGATTGAAGTATTTCAAGTGTTTAGTTTTTGCGCTTAAAAACTGAATAACCGTAAGTTTTCATTTTCCTTTTTGTATAATCCTTATTTGTCTATCGGTCAAACTATATTTGACCTCCTTGGCTGTTTAGTAAAATAATAAAACGTTAGGTTAAAAAATGTCTGGAGGAGGTGATCAGGATGACGGTTATATTGCGAAATTAAGGGGGCTACCTTGGTCAGCCACCACGGACGATATAATTACGTTCTTTAAGGACTGTAACATAAAGGGTGGTAAAAATGGTATTCACATGACAACGTCACGGGAAGGGAGGCCTAGTGGTGAGGCATTTGTGGAATTTGTGGACGTTGAGGATTTGCAACGTGCTCTTCTCAGAGACAGGGATCATATGGGAAATAGATACATTGAAGGTAATCATAAAAATATGCTGTTTGAAGATTGTATTACCTTTTTGAAATTTTCCTGAAATTGTTTTGTTACTGTTGTTTGAGTAGTGTTCAAAGTAAACAGGGCTGAAATGGAGTGGGTTATTAAAAGATGTGGACCAATGTATGGATCTAATGAGGACGGGTGTGTGAGATTGAGAGGATTACCTTTTGGTTGCTCCAAGGAGGAGATTGCACAGTTTTTCACAGGTATAAGGCCCATTGCTCTTAACTTAATTGATTTGTTACATGCTTTAACAAATTCTTGGAAATATTTATAAGATACTTGTCTTTATTGCCTTTTGAAATAGCTGAAAATAATTATTTTATGCTTTAATAGCTGTTTTTATATATACAAGAAATATACAAGGTGATTTCATTATAATTTCTGCTCAGTATTAAATAACAAATGATTTCTTTTTCTTGTTTGCTCAGAACAACATTTCATAATATTGTGATATCTTAATGTTACCCAGATTTTTTCATATAATTGTATGTTTTATGTATAAATGTTCTTCTGTTTTTTTTTTCTATTGTTCATGCAAGTATCTTGGATATTTTCCCATTTTTTGCCTGTTTGGTTTTATCCCGATAAAGGTGAAATGTGTGTCACATTTTATATTTATTAATCCTTGAAAAGAAAAAAAAAAAAAATAGTCCGTTGTAATGAAAAATATTTTTGAGTTGAAGGGCTGATTTTATTGGGTTGTTGGGTAGGGTTGGAGATAGTGCCGAACGGAATAACCCTTCTGACTGACTACTCGGGGAGAAGTTCTGGGGAGGCGTACGTACAGTTTGTTAACAAAGAAGTCGCAGAGAAAGCTCTGCTCAAACACCGGGAAAGAATAGGACACAGGTGGGGCAAGGAGGGAGGGCGGGATATCACCTCCTCATTAACATAATTAATTTTTCAATTATTCCTTGTAATATTACTTAAAAGAAAATTCAATCAACATCACCAAAAGCTCTCGTTATTTGAATTAATTAAATTTCTTTTTTGTTTAATGGCCAAGGGTGTATATTCAAAATTTAAAAAAAAAACAGGTAATGGGAGGTAAATAATAGATAAAATAAAATATATAACGAGAGTTTTTGTTTTTTTTTTGTACTGGGAACTGTAGACAACTCTGTATTTATTTTGTTTGTTGTAAATTAATATGGTCATAAAAACAATGGGGCCTAGAGTGAGAAACACATCAACATAAAAAAAAAATAAAAATTATATTCATTTGCTAATTAAAAGCACAAGAAATTCCATAGCCATAAGCATGAGGATTTACCCCACAGTTATTATTATTTAAGTTATTTCATATTTTGGAGATAGTAATAGAAGAAGTATGTGACCAAAATCTTTAGGGGTATTTCGCCCATGCTTACTACCCAGTCTACAGTGTAACAATGTATTTAAAAACAATATAAGACAGGATATTGTAAGCATCTTGTTTTGTTTGTTAAAGTACATGTTGTTGTGTTTGTTCTTTTTTTTTTTTTTGATGTTGATTTGTTTCCTTTTTGCACCCTTCGCCCCAGCACATCAACGACAACACTTTGACAATATTATGCTTCCTCTTCTACTTACGTTGTTTTGTTTTGTGGCTTTATTCCCTGACTTTGTTCCATGTGATTGTATGCGCAGATACATAGAAATATTTAGGAGCAGCCTGTCTGAGGTGAGCAGCGTTTTGGGTTACAACGGTCGTCGTATCGGGGGCGGTCCAGGGGGCATGGGCTACAACTCCCGTCCGAGCCCCTACGACCGCGGCGATCACCGTTACGGCGGCATGAACCGCTTTCAGTCGCGGGGTTCGAGGAGTTTCAAGGGCGGATTCTCCAACTCCATTGTGTCCGGTAAATTAAACGAGCAAAAAAATAACGATGGGGAGATAATAAAGTGTTTTCTGCATGGGCTTATTACAGACAGGAAATTTAACGATTACGACGTGCCGAATAGTCCTTGGATGGGGGCAAGTCGAAATGGTAGTTTGGCAGGTAGTGATCGGAGCCCTTACAGCATGAGTAGCTGGAACGGTTCTAACGATAGGGGAGTTTCTGCAGGGATTCATTGCGTTCACATGAGGGGCTTGCCTTTTAAAGCCACCCAAATGGACATTGCTGACGTAAGAACGGCATAAGGGGGTGGTAGATTGAGATCTTATTTAACAGAGGCTACTTTTTGCAGTTTTTTAAACCTATAATTCCGGTGAGTATTAGACTGTTGCAAGATGGGTCGGGTAGGGCTTCGGGGGAGGCAGATGTTGAATTTGCTAGCCACGAGGATGCTGTCCGGGCCATGAGCAAAGACAAAGGACATATGCAGCATCGTTATATAGAACTGTTTTTGAATTCGTCGGCCAGTAACGGGCCCCCGTCCAGCGGAGGGTGTTACGGGGGCCTGGGACGACGCAGACCTTAAATTGTGAAGTCATTTCAATTTCTGTTCTTTGAAGTGGAAATGATCAGTAAAAAAAGAGAAGAGAAAAAGATTGGTTGTTGTTAAACTATTTAATTTCGTCGTCGGTATTCGAATTACTATTTTTCTTTCTTTTTATTACTGTCACATTGTGTTCGTATATTGAAGGAAAAAATATATGTACAAGCACGTTTCTTAGTCTTCTGTTTGTTTTAATAGATGTGTAGGGAAAAATCGATCGAGCATGAGGTACGTTGTAAAAAAATCAGCGATAAGGTACAGAGTTTTTATTTTCGTTTAAACCTCGGTTGTTGTTAGCACATTCAGTTTGTAATGAATTTTTTGTTTCCTTTGTTCAAACCATAAAGCAATTTGTTAGGGTATTCACTATTTTTTTTTTAATGCTTTTGTTTGGTATATATGAAATGTTCGGAATAGAAAAAAAAAGAATTAAGTAAGTAGTGGGGGGTGGGGTGGGTTTCACCTGATACTTGTACTTTAAGAGAACATTGTGTTTATTTTTTTATTGTAAAAAATGTATAAAAGTGGCTGTAATGTGGTTAAAGTAAGCTTTTACCTCGTGGTTTTAAATATTTTTCTTTTAGATTAGATCAGATTTATTAAACTTGTGCTTTTTTACATTATGTGTGCAGTTAAATGAATTGTATTTTCCAAAAAGTTGATCTTTTTTTTTCGTTTTTACTTATTTTTTTCATTATTTAGTTGTTAAGTTAATGAATTTTGAATAAAGCTTCATTTTTTATGCAATTCCTTATATGTTTCTCATTTATAACTGGGCACGTTTTTGAAATTTAATTAAAAAACGCTAATAATGTTTACTTTGTAGTAATCAAGTATTTCATTAGCTTGTAAGGAACAATTAACACAAAAGTTTTAATTTTTCGATTGATAATTATATATCGTTATTTTCAATCGTACGGCATTTTTTTTTACCTTCATCCTACGCTTTCTTAAAAGGGATGCTGCATCGGCTTCGTGTTTATTTCAATTTACACTAAAAAAAACGAATTTTACAAATATATTACATATAGATATATGATTCTTCGTGAAGCTTATACTATTTTTACAAATGCGTTATGTGTGTTGCCTATATCGACTACTACTTTAAGAGGGGTAAATTTATATATTTAAATTAGACGCTTAATTACACTTACAAATATGATAATTTCGGTCTATCTTTGAAGGATATAATATATATACTTATGTTAGAAACATTTAACTGTTTCTCGCCGTTTTTCCCCGTACATTCAGAACAAATAAATTGTAATAGTATAACAACTCATATTAAATTGAAGCAACTTTAAAATTAGTTTGTAAATTGTTTACTAAAACATTTTTAAACTAAGAAGCGTCTTAAAGTGTGTTACAGATATTCAAAGAAAACAGTAAAAATTCAGTGTAATTTAACTTTATTAACATATAAAAATTAACAATAACTTACAAAAAGTACAAAACAACGCATTTAATTAATTATTAATTATGTGTCGCTATTTTCAATGATACTACTTGTCATATCGGCGTCTTCTTCCTCTTCTTCGTCGGCTTCCATTTCGAAAAGTCTGATTTTTTTTCTGTTCTTTGAGAGAACGATACAAACCTTTCTGGCACCCGAAACAGCAAACTTACTACAAGCCATATCATCGAGACTTTTTGTAACAACCGAAGATCCCAACTCAAATCCGTTAATTTTCGGTATATTTTGCCCACAAATCGACCGATTCAAATCGTAATCAACCATCTTATCTTGTATTAAATTTATAGGCAACTGACAGAGTAGTCCGGAAGCCTTTGCGTTGGATTCTTGTAATAAAACTGACAAAATGTTGACGCTATAAAATTTAAAGTCCGTTATCTGATACTTTTCAGTATTACTGTGAGCGAAGAATATGTACACGCTTTTCCCTTTTATTTCTGGAACGATTTGCGTTAAAAAGATGCCAATTTTTTTATCTAAACTCGCCACAAACGTCTGATTATCGTCAGAATGTATTTCGGTCATTTGCGCGTCCTCTAAACTGTCTATAGTATGTTTTAAATTTAAATCGCGAGCCGTAAGGAATTTCGGCTGTTCGAATATCTTATCGATTGATTTTTCTAAAGCGTGCAATTGCTGCACCAAAGAATTATTCTGGTACCGCCTGATAATGTCCGGATGCTCTCTAAGACATTCGTTATGCATTAGGAAATTGTTCCATATGTTCTCGTCAATATTGGGGGGCGCAGACAAGGGCGCGTTCTCAAGATACTGACCCAGTCTTTCCATTGTAAACTCTGAAACGATAAAAAATAAAAGATAAGTCGGTAAATACTGTAAAAACGTAAAAATTCGCATTTATAATTTTTACCTTTTCCTGAGGGGTCTCGACTTCCTTCTGTCCGTCCAATTCGATCAAAATTTAAAATAAATTCAGTAATATTAGAGATGTCTTGTTGAGTCATCTTGGGCATCTCAGGAATTTGCTCTTCCATCAAATTAACAATGGCCATATACAGCCACCGGAAGAATGCCTTATATTTAATCATTGACTGATTGATAATCTGTTGCATTTCGCCCCCTTTACTCAAGAAGGACCCTGCTAAGTTTATAGCTTCAGTAATTGGTTCTTCAGTCAGACCAATTACCTAAAAAATATTTAGTTAATGCAAAAATAATTAAAATTTAATTTTAACGTGTTACTTCGAATCTGGTTTTGAGTCTGGCCATTCCTCGAAGTTCTGCGAGATGATAAGTTATATTTTGACCAACTTTCGTCAAGTTCTTTAGTAATAACTGTTGAATGTTTGCATAGCAAGTTTCAATCACTTGACCAAACTTTTTTAGACCTTTCTCGGTTAAATCGTGCAACAAAAACTCTTGCATTTCTGTGCTAGTTATGCCAAACATTAAAAGATCAAGAAAATCGGCTGTTAGAGTCCCTTCGGAGACTTTCGACGCGTATTTCTTTAATTTGGCGTCCATTTCTAGCAAAATTGTTTCCCACGTCTCTTTAATCGTTCCAATGGTGTCCCACAAGTACGGTATTAAGTTATCTGCAAAATTAAATTGTTTTAGGCACAGAAACTTTAGTAAAAGTAACGTAATTGGTACCTATGTGGCTGTGCTTATTGGCTACTGCAAATAACTCATGTTTGTGAGTTTTAAAAATATCTGTGTTTAATATGGCAACTTTAATGTGCCCATTTTCGTCCTTTATCGTAATAAATATGAAATTTAAGTCATTTGAGAATGTAGCATTTAAAATTGAACACCTGTGACCGTAGTATTTGTTTAAATTAATTGTTGCACACATGAATTTTCCAAAAATACTTAAATGAACCAAACCTTCCCTTGTACCAATTATAAGAAGATTCAGATCTTTCTGATTTTCACATAAGTTTGGTTTCTGATGATTATGCTGACCAGCAGATGAAGACAGAGGCTGAAGATCTGCCAGAAATGTAGAAGAATTATCCTAAACATTTAGTATTATTTATTTATTCACGGTATAAATAAGAGCTTTTGATTTACTCACTGCATATTTTATTTGATGTTTGTTCTCTTCATCTTCGCATAAAAGGTTCCCTGCTGATTTGTTTGATTTCCTTGTTTGCACCCAATGTAAACATGATATCTCACCTTGTACTTCTATTTTATGAAGAATATTCTTGTTCTCGACATCCACCAAGAATATTTCGCCTATATTATTTAATCAAATAGTAAATATTCTCTTTAATCATTAACAACTATTATTGATACCTAAACTGTATGCTATTGCTATTATTTTGCTGTCTGGTCTCCAGGCCATTGCTTTGACTTGAATTCCATCTTTATGGGGAGATAAGTTCCATGCCCGAGCCCATGTAAGGCGATGTAGAGCAACTTCTCCTTTAAAATTTTGAAAATTGAGCTTTGTTTTAGTTTGTTGTTAGTGGTTGTTACCTTTTAGGTTAGAAAATGCCACTAAATCCATTCGATTACTCCAAACCAATATATCTATCTCTTGGGCGACGTTTTTTTCTTCCAATTGCTTTATAGTTTGATACATTTTCGTCGCTTTTTAATTAAAAAAATACTAAATTCCTAAATTTTTGGCAGCTAACCTATATAAATTTGAAGTATGTATCTCTTCTTCTTCTTGGTAATTTTCCACAATTAAAAAAAGAATTAAGTAAGTAGTGGGGGGTGGGGTGGGTTTCACCTGATACTTGTACTTTAAGAGAACATTGTGTTTATTTTTTTATTGTAAAAAATGTATAAAAGTGGCTGTAATGTGGTTAAAGTAAGCTTTTACCTCGTGGTTTTAAATATTTTTCTTTTAGATTAGATCAGATTTATTAAACTTGTGCTTTTTTACATTATGTGTGCAGTTAAATGAATTGTATTTTCCAAAAAGTTGATCTTTTTTTTTCGTTTTTACTTATTTTTTTCATTATTTAGTTGTTAAGTTAATGAATTTTGAATAAAGCTTCATTTTTTATGCAATTCCTTATATGTTTCTCATTTATAACTGGGCACGTTTTTGAAATTTAATTAAAAAACGCTAATAATGTTTACTTTGTAGTAATCAAGTATTTCATTAGCTTGTAAGGAACAATTAACACAAAAGTTTTAATTTTTCGATTGATAATTATATATCGTTATTTTCAATCGTACGGCATTTTTTTTTACCTTCATCCTACGCTTTCTTAAAAGGGATGCTGCATCGGCTTCGTGTTTATTTCAATTTACACTAAAAAAAACGAATTTTACAAATATATTACATATAGATATATGATTCTTCGTGAAGNTAATGATAATGGACCTTTTTCAATTTAGACGTATTGGGGTGTAATATCAACTCATAAATTAAAAGCTATTTCTTAATTTTTCTAAACTTTTACTCTTTTGGCGGTTACTTAGCCACTACCAAATCCACCCACACCTAAGGAATTTCATGCTAATGCGCAGAATCAGTAGTTTCACTCGTTTCCCATGTTGGACAAAATGCCGTTGGTGGCGCTGATGGCGCATAATTGTCCATATTTTTAAAGAATATTTCACTAAAACTTCTGAAGATGGCACTATCAATGCTTTAATCGTATTTGGGAGATTAGAGCTTTTTAACACGATAGTAAAACATATAGTTATTTTTATAATATTATTATACGTAACGTAATTTTATAATTAATAACGTAAATAAAATTATTTACATTAAGTAATTACTCGAAATGGATAACTCATCTTATTTATATTATTTTCTTTGCGCAAATCTCATAACTTTTTTTCGCGATTTTGCTTCAACAACCATTTGGGCTTGTTTCTTGAGATGGTCTCTCGTAGGCACTTCTTCTTCCTCTTCGGATCCTAAAACATTTTGAAATATAATTGAAATAACGTTAAAATTGCTGGATATTTAAAAATAAAAAAATGGTAACCTGCTGTTTGACTAATCGATATGGTACCCGTCTGGGGTACTGGTGTCCTTCTTAATAAGGAATTATACGAGGGTGGAAACCATTTTTCCTCAATTTCTTCGTTTTCTATCTGTAAATTAATTAATATTAGTACGATATTAAAAAATGCCCCGCTTTTGTAGTTACATTTTCAATTTCTATAGTTCCCTCTTCGTCTAACATAGGCATAAGGGTTGTTCGGATGTAAACAATCATTTCTTGAGTATGCATTATATTATGACCCGTTGACTTGGGGTTGACATTCAAATACATTCCCCTCAGATTGTCAGATATTCTTTTAATGATTTCTTTTGTTTTATGGAGCTGTTCCATTTTTATATGTTTGCGACTATTTTGCTCATCGATTTGAGTACGCATCTTTTCTATATCTTCTATGTTTCTTAAAAAGAATGTTTGAATCCAGTTACTTTTTTGAATCGTCTCAAATAACTTATTTTTTGTTCACAAATTCATTACACTCGAAAACTGTAAACTTTTGTCTAATGTAACTGCGAGTTTGTGGACAAAAAACTATTTGTTACTTGCATTTGTTTATAATCGTTTGTCAGCTATTTTTTGATTGATTATGTTTTTTTTTACTTACTGCTCGGCTTCTTTGACTTCAGCAAATTTAAAAGCTTCCAGCTGGTTAGTCAGTTGTTGAATTCGTCTTTCTAACTTACTCTTTTGTTTCTCAGACGTTGCCTTTAAATTTTCTAATCGCGAAAGCGTTGTTCTTTGTATCTGGAATTTCTCTAAAGTTTCTTCAGCATCTTTAGCACCTGCATATACGTATATGTATTAATTATTTCTAATTAATACATAATTAATACATATATTTACCGGCAGTTTCTTTTAACTTATCAAACGTATCGATGAGGTCTTGTTCGGGATTGGGACTAAGGAGTTGGTCTTCGTCCAGTTGTCCTTCCTCTGGGTTTTCCTCGTCCTGTCTTTCTTGAGTTTTTCCGCTCATGAAAATTAGTTGTTCCAGTTTTTCTAATTCTTGACGACCTTCAGCCACCAGTCGTCTTCCTTGGGATTCCAACCTTTCCCTTTCCATAGCTGAAAGGACGGCTGATTTTTCTTCGTGTAACAATTCTGTTCTTACGAAAGCTTTCTTTTTGGCTGCTTCAGCGCCTATCTGAAAAGTGCATCGAAGAAACAAATACAAACAAATATATTCGGAATGAAATTATTTTACCTTTTGTAATTTTTCTATTTCGGACTCTTGAATTTTGAGTTCTTGTTCCGTATTTTTTATGATAGCATGATAACTTGCTGTCTCGTTTAAGAGGGACCTTTTTATGTCAATGTAACGCGTTTTTATGTGATTTGCTTCACGCCATTGCACTTGAACCGCGTGAATTTGATTTTCTATGCTGAAGGTGGTCTGAAAATATTTACGAAATGTTTACTGTTTATTTCGGTTATTGTTTTTTATTTTTGTTATGTAGTTTGTATTTAACGTACTCTGGTAACTGGCGCTTTGATTTTTTTTGCGAAACTCTTTTTAACTTGTTGCGATTGCAGTTGCTGATATTGTTTGGCCATTTCTTTTAAACAGCGTTCCTTCTGAAAAGCTAAACAATTTTTAAGGATTTTTTTAATTGCTTTTGTTTTCTACCTCGGCGATTTTGTAGCGAATTAGGTCTAGTTTTTTTACTTTGTCTATGACCTGTAAGTCTAGGACGACTATCACTTCGTTGCACATCTTTTCACCCAAGTATGCTGCTACAGAATTGAGTTGTGGGATTCTAATCCTGTCCTTTACGCTATTACTAGTTTTGTTTCGTAAAGTTACGATTAATTGCGACACTTCCTTCTTTAGGGTTTCGATTTTTTCGGTGTTGTTCTTTTGTTCTGTTTCGCATTCTTCAAACAGGGCCTTTCTTTGACCCTCTGTTGTTTTAAAACAAATAAACAAACAAACAAAGAAACGAAGCATTGACTTTCGACTGTTATTTATTGTTTAACACCAATAAGTACGTAATAGCATAACACTCACCTGAAAGTTGTACCTTTTTTTTCATTTCGTTTATCATTTTTTCCATTTCCGCAGCCGTTTCTGGCCTTTTCTTGCGCGATTTGAGGCCTCCCATGGCCTTTAACTTGGTGAAGTAGTTACTTTCGTTTTTAATAAGATAATATATAAAGATTTTACGAATAATTAAATTGTAACCAGTTTTTTTGGGATTAATTCGTGGGGGCAGCTCCCCCTTCGTTATTAGCAAATGAAGGAAATTGATTTGAACAGAGAAAATGCATTTGCGCAATGTGATATGTTGTTGAAGATGTTCGAAGATCGGTTGTTTTATTGATCAAACATTATATTAAAAATTACTCTATCAGTCTGTCTTTTGTTTCTAACTTTTATGTACGATTTCTTCACAAAATTTGGTACAAGGGAGCAAAGATGAACTTTTTCAAGCAACCACTTTTATCTATTTTTATCTGTACAGATAATTTTATAAATAATAATTGTTTTTGACTGAGCCTTGTATATGTGTATGCGTATGTCTAATTTTAAATTGTTTCTAATTAGGCCTTGTAAATGAGACGTTTCGACAAAGACAAAAGGCAAAGGTGATAAGAAACGCCAACGTCTAGCCAATCACCTTGCTTGTTGTACGTCAAATCGAGCCTCGCATTTGTTTATTTAAATATTTTTGTTGTTGTGATGAACTAATACTCGCTATTTTGCAATTAGTTTATTTTGATATAAATAAACGTATTGTACCCGGGTATTTAGGTCGCGAGGGGGTGTGAGTGCTCTATTAATGATAACTAAAGACAATTGGTGTTTGTTTGATTGAAGTTTTGGATATAAATTGATAAAAAGCAATATTGGTGAGTGAATTAATGTTTTCGTCAATAGCTTAGGTAGATCATTCATTATTTCATTTATGCAGAGATGTGATGCGTTTAAAATGCAAATACAAAATAAAAAATACCTAAGTGTGTTTATCTTGCATTCAAATACTTTTTTGAGAAAAGCATTCTGTATTTTATTTAAAATACTTTTCCAAACGAACTTTCTATTTGTAAAATGCAAAATACATTTTTACCATTAAAAGTTTTGCTAGTATCACCGATCAAACATTATATAAAATGATGAAAAATTCTAAACTCCTTGGATATGGATAATTTAAAATATTGGTTCGATATTGTTTTCCGAGTTCAATGTCATGGTCCATGGAATTTTGTAGTTCCAAATTGATATCAGCACCTGCCAAATCACTACTTATTGTCCCTTTAGCAAGAAACTACGAAACTGTATGAATTACGACAAAACAACCCCCAAAACAATATCGAATTGATATACGCCAGCTGTGTAAAACTAAAAACTACAAGATATTGTGGTGTGCTAATAAATGCCTATAATCCAAAATTCTTAGAAAACGATGAATTTCATGCTAATGCGCAGAATCAGTAGTTTCACTCGTTTCCCATGTTGGACAAAATGCCGTTGGTGGCGCTGATGGCGCATAATTGTCCATATTTTTAAAGAATATTTCACTAAAACTTCTGAAGATGGCACTATCAATGCTTTAATCGTATTTGGGAGATTAGAGCTTTTTAACACGATAGTAAAACATATAGTTATTTTTATAATATTATTATACGTAACGTAATTTTATAATTAATAACGTAAATAAAATTATTTACATTAAGTAATTACTCGAAATGGATAACTCATCTTATTTATATTATTTTCTTTGCGCAAATCTCATAACTTTTTTTCGCGATTTTGCTTCAACAACCATTTGGGCTTGTTTCTTGAGATGGTCTCTCGTAGGCACTTCTTCTTCCTCTTCGGATCCTAAAACATTTTGAAATATAATTGAAATAACGTTAAAATTGCTGGATATTTAAAAATANACGAATTTTGAAAATACGTATTTTGCATTTAGCATTTAAAATACAAAAGGGAAATCAATTTCGTATTTTACATTTGAAATCACAAATCAAAAAAGTATTTGCATTTTGTATTTAAATACTTTTAAAAAGCCATTTCGCACATCTCTACATTTATGGTAAAATGACAATAAATTTTATGATGCTGTTTTTATTTCCATGTTTGTAGATTAATAATGTTCAACACAATTAGAAATAACAAAAGCCAAAATTTTTTATTGTTATTATCTTTTTAAAATATTGTAAAATGTGATTTCTGTGGAAGAAATACAACCTTTATACAACGATAATTTATTCGGTTATATTTTATGCTTTATTTCTAATTTGTTGTTAATATTGTTTAGATTTTATTAGATTGCAAAAGTTGACGTTACTCGTTCGAATTTAATATTACGCAAATGATAGTTCGATGCGCTGGTATCTGTCGTATTAGGTGAAGATAACCTCGATTGTGGTTTGCATATTATCTCACTTTCACTTTCCGCTGACATTGATAGAAGCAAACAATCGATATCAAAATACATAATATTGTCAGCAATGTCAAATACCGTACAACTAGTTGTAATTCATCACAAAACTGAACCAAAAAATACTAATTTTTGCAAAGTAAGAAATGAAAAGCCAAAACGGGGCAAAGGTTTTTTCTCAATTATGAGATATCAGGTCTAAAAGGACAATTGTTTTACAAATAATTAAGATAATTAATAAAACACTTACTTCGCATTCTAAGTTGGACTTTTATATTTAATAACATAGAAACCTAAGTAGGTTTTTCGTTACACCTTAATTATTTGTGTAACGATTGTCCTTTTAGCCCTGAAGATGTCTCATAATTGAGGCGACACTTAGGTTGTTGGTCTCGTAAAAATAAAAACCATTGTCCCATTGTAATTTTCTATTTCTCATTTTATACAATTGTTGTTGAAGAAATGACAACTAGTTTTTACATAATTATTATTGGGGGCTGGTGGGATAGTTTCGGAAGTTAACTAACGAGAGCTGCAAATTCTTTCATTGTTGCAAAGGCTTATCATTATCGGATGGTTGCAGCTTATTTTTAATGTTTTTTTAAATGTAATAAACTTTGGGTATTTTCCGAAATTAACGAAACAATCTTGGATGTAGATTGCAGCAGTCTTTTTCGAGCGTAATTGTCTCTCCTTTATTATCCGAATACTTGCTCACTTTAACAGTTGATCGGCGAGAGAATATTTTGCTCGGTTTTTGCTTTAAACAGTAACTAAAGAATTGTTCCAAAAATAAGTATGTTATTTGTATATGAATTTACTTTAGATTTGTCTTTTTACATTTGTACTACAAAGTGAAAGTAATAATTCATCTATTTAACACATAAATGTTGTAGGGTAACTTCCATCTTTAAACAACTTCACCTTATGTTTAAGGATAAGTTATATCACCAACCTATATGTTTTACGTCAGTAAAAACACTGCTGGACCTTATATGGCACCGCACTGGAAAACCGTTGGTACCATGACATACTACGTATTTGTTTACATAATTATCCCCTGTCGGAGGTTACTAATTACCTTCCATTTCAGAATAATTTCACGAGCGCCTTTTTATGTTTAAGTTATTTTATGTGTTTTACGTTGGCAAAACTATTGCCGGAAAATACCTTGTATGACACCGCACTAGGAAACCGTTGGTACTATAAGATTCTACGTACTTTGTTACATAATTATCCCCTGTCGGAGGTTACCAATTACCTTCCATCTCAGAATGGTTTCACGAGCGCCTTTTTATGTTTAAGTTATTTTATGTGTTTTACGTTGGCAAAACTATTGCCGGAAAATATCTTGTATGATACCGCACTGGAAAACCCTTGGTACCATGACATTGTACGTACCCTTTTACATAATTATCCCCTGTCGGAGGTTACCAATTACCTTCCATCTCAGAATGGTTTCACGAGCGCCTTTTTATGTTTAAGTTATTTTATGTGTTTTACGTTGGCAAAACTATTGCCGGAAAATATCTTGTATGATACCGCACTGGAAAACCCTTGGTACCATGACATTGTACGTACCCTTTTACATAATTATCCCCTGTCGGAGGTTACCAATTACCTTCCATCTCAGAATGGTTTCACGAGCGCCTTTTTATGTTTAAGTTATTTTATGTGTTTTACGTTGGCAAAACTATTGCCGGAAAATATCTTGTATGATACCGCACTGGAAAACCCTTGGTACCATGACATTGTACGTACCCTTTTACATAATTATCCCCTGTCGGAGGTTACCAATTACCTTCCATCTCAGAATGGTTTCACGAGCGCCTTTTTATGTTTAAGTTATTTTATGTGTTTTACGTTGGCAAAACTATTGCCGGAAAATATCTTGTATGATACCGCACTGGAAAACCCTTGGTACCATGACATTGTACGTACCCTTTTACATAATTATCCCCTGTCGGAGGTTACCAATTACCTTCCATCTCAGAATGGTTTCACGAGCGCCTTTTTATGTTTAAGTTATTTTATGTGTTTTACGTTGGCAAAACTATTGCCGGAAAATATCTTGTATGATACCGCACTGGAAAACCCTTGGTACCATGACATTGTACGTACCCTTTTACATAATTATCCCCTGTCGGAGGTTACCAATTACCTTCCATCTCAGAATGGTTTCACGAGCGCCTTTTTATGTTTAAGTTATTTTATGTGTTTTACGTTGGCAAAACTATTGCCGGAAAATATCTTGTATGATACCGCACTGGAAAACCGTTGGTACCATGACATTGTACGTACCCTTTTACATAATTATCCCCTGTCGGAGGTTACCAATTACCTTCCATCTCAGAATAATTTCACGAGCGCCTTTTTATGTTTAAGTTATTTTATGTGTTTTACGTCGGCAAAACTATTGCCGGAAAATATCTTGTATGATACCGCACTGGAAAATCGTTGGTACCCTGACATTGTACGTACCCTTTTACATAATTATGCCTTGTCGGAGGTTACTAATTACCTTCCAAGTCAGAATAATTTCACGAGCGCCTTTTTATGTTTAAGTTATTTTATGTGTTTTGCGTTGGCAAAACTATTGCCGGATAATACCTTGTATGACACCGCACTAGGAAACCGTTGGTACTATAAAATTCTACGTACTTTGTTACATAATTATCCCCTGTCGGAGGTTACCAATTACCTTCCANTCTATATCTTCTATGTTTCTTAAAAAGAATGTTTGAATCCAGTTACTTTTTTGAATCGTCTCAAATAACTTATTTTTTGTTCACAAATTCATTACACTCGAAAACTGTAAACTTTTGTCTAATGTAACTGCGAGTTTGTGGACAAAAAACTATTTGTTACTTGCATTTGTTTATAATCGTTTGTCAGCTATTTTTTGATTGATTATGTTTTTTTTTACTTACTGCTCGGCTTCTTTGACTTCAGCAAATTTAAAAGCTTCCAGCTGGTTAGTCAGTTGTTGAATTCGTCTTTCTAACTTACTCTTTTGTTTCTCAGACGTTGCCTTTAAATTTTCTAATCGCGAAAGCGTTGTTCTTTGTATCTGGAATTTCTCTAAAGTTTCTTCAGCATCTTTAGCACCTGCATATACGTATATGTATTAATTATTTCTAATTAATACATAATTAATACATATATTTACCGGCAGTTTCTTTTAACTTATCAAACGTATCGATGAGGTCTTGTTCGGGATTGGGACTAAGGAGTTGGTCTTCGTCCAGTTGTCCTTCCTCTGGGTTTTCCTCGTCCTGTCTTTCTTGAGTTTTTCCGCTCATGAAAATTAGTTGTTCCAGTTTTTCTAATTCTTGACGACCTTCAGCCACCAGTCGTCTTCCTTGGGATTCCAACCTTTCCCTTTCCATAGCTGAAAGGACGGCTGATTTTTCTTCGTGTAACAATTCTGTTCTTACGAAAGCTTTCTTTTTGGCTGCTTCAGCGCCTATCTGAAAAGTGCATCGAAGAAACAAATACAAACAAATATATTCGGAATGAAATTATTTTACCTTTTGTAATTTTTCTATTTCGGACTCTTGAATTTTGAGTTCTTGTTCCGTATTTTTTATGATAGCATGATAACTTGCTGTCTCGTTTAAGAGGGACCTTTTTATGTCAATGTAACGCGTTTTTATGTGATTTGCTTCACGCCATTGCACTTGAACCGCGTGAATTTGATTTTCTATGCTGAAGGTGGTCTGAAAATATTTACGAAATGTTTACTGTTTATTTCGGTTATTGTTTTTTATTTTTGTTATGTAGTTTGTATTTAACGTACTCTGGTAACTGGCGCTTTGATTTTTTTTGCGAAACTCTTTTTAACTTGTTGCGATTGCAGTTGCTGATATTGTTTGGCCATTTCTTTTAAACAGCGTTCCTTCTGAAAAGCTAAACAATTTTTAAGGATTTTTTTAATTGCTTTTGTTTTCTACCTCGGCGATTTTGTAGCGAATTAGGTCTAGTTTTTTTACTTTGTCTATGACCTGTAAGTCTAGGACGACTATCACTTCGTTGCACATCTTTTCACCCAAGTATGCTGCTACAGAATTGAGTTGTGGGATTCTAATCCTGTCCTTTACGCTATTACTAGTTTTGTTTCGTAAAGTTACGATTAATTGCGACACTTCCTTCTTTAGGGTTTCGATTTTTTCGGTGTTGTTCTTTTGTTCTGTTTCGCATTCTTCAAACAGGGCCTTTCTTTGACCCTCTGTTGTTTTAAAACAAATAAACAAACAAACAAAGAAACGAAGCATTGACTTTCGACTGTTATTTATTGTTTAACACCAATAAGTACGTAATAGCATAACACTCACCTGAAAGTTGTACCTTTTTTTTCATTTCGTTTATCATTTTTTCCATTTCCGCAGCCGTTTCTGGCCTTTTCTTGCGCGATTTGAGGCCTCCCATGGCCTTTAACTTGGTGAAGTAGTTACTTTCGTTTTTAATAAGATAATATATAAAGATTTTACGAATAATTAAATTGTAACCAGTTTTTTTGGGATTAATTCGTGGGGGCAGCTCCCCCTTCGTTATTAGCAAATGAAGGAAATTGATTTGAACAGAGAAAATGCATTTGCGCAATGTGATATGTTGTTGAAGATGTTCGAAGATCGGTTGTTTTATTGATCAAACATTATATTAAAAATTACTCTATCAGTCTGTCTTTTGTTTCTAACTTTTATGTACGATTTCTTCACAAAATTTGGTACAAGGGAGCAAAGATGAACTTTTTCAAGCAACCACTTTTATCTATTTTTATCTNCTTCTGATGGCGTTTCGGATTGTAACGGAAGTTTTTTGTTTTTTATATTACTCGTCGGTACACATATGAAAATATCGACTATTTTCCGATATGAATCTTGTAAAACGTTGAGAATTACACGAGCTTTCCGTAAATGAAGAGGCCGACAAATGAGCAAGGAAGCTAAGCGTTTTAAAAATCAGATAAAGCAACTTTTCAAGCCTTCCATTCGGCTTCGACAAGATCATTTTTGCGCCTCACTGGACGCCAACTGATCAAGATACACGAATCATTAGTTGTGTATGGGTAGCTAGTTTCAGAACTAATAGGAGGCTTATAAGATCTGACGTGAACCTGCTTGTCTTTTATTCAAGCCTTTAACAAAAAAAAATTTGAAAGTTAGCAAAACCACTACCAAATCTTTTTATATATGAATAATTATACTAAAGATTGAATCTTTCTCGTGTATAACTGCCAGAATTCTTTTTTTAGATTATATAATATACAGGGCGAATGTGTACACATGTGGTTTACTGCAGATCCTATAATAATACTTTAAAATATCGATCATAACAAAAAATGAAATTAATATCCAACAAGAAAACTCCGCCCGTATTTCTGGAAGAAAATCTTTCTTCTTAGATATTATGACTAATTTTCTAGTATGTAATCACAAAAATCAAATACTCGTCGATCTTCCAGAAGAAGTGCCAATAAATAAAATTCTTATGAAACGATTCGAAAAACTTCACTTATGAAGAACCCAAAGCTAAAAAACTATGGATTCCATTTCTTCTCTTTAAATACAATGTGTTAAAGACCGGAAATAAAATAGGGTTGTATATATATTGATATAAAATGATTGATGGTGATTTTGCATCAATAAAATTATTTGCAACCCTATTTTGACTCTGAAATTTCACGGTAAACAAACTATTTTGGCATCAGTGTCTTTTTTCTAATTAAAACGTTGACAAAGGCAAATAAGGAAGCATATAGAGGAATTATTTGTTGTTGAACTTCAAACACAAAAATATGAATAATACTTCGAAGCTGGTGATATTAGTGCAAACACCACTGTTAGTCTACAAAAACTCCAATATTTAAAAAATTAGCAAATGCCTGCATGGTTATCTTAGGAATATTTGATACTTAAGTGAATGTAGAAAATTAAATAGTAGTTTATTTGAAAAAAATGTTTTGAAAATACGTGTATTTTGCATTTAGCATTTAAAATACAAAAGGGAAATCTATTTTGTATTTTACATTTGAAATAAAAAATCAAAAAAGTATTTGCATTTTGTATTTAAATACTTTTAAAAAACTATTTTACATATCTCCGTTCATCATCAAATTCTTCTTCTACTAATAAGTACTACAAAAAAGTATTTATTTGAAAAACGAATTTTGAAAATACGTATTTTGCATTTAGCATTTAAAATACAAAAGGGAAATCAATTTCGTATTTTACATTTGAAATCACAAATCAAAAAAGTATTTGCATTTTGTATTTAAATACTTTTAAAAAGCCATTTCGCACATCTCTACATTTATGGTAAAATGACAATAAATTTTATGATGCTGTTTTTATTTCCATGTTTGTAGATTAATAATGTTCAACACAATTAGAAATAACAAAAGCCAAAATTTTTTATTGTTATTATCTTTTTAAAATATTGTAAAATGTGATTTCTGTGGAAGAAATACAACCTTTATACAACGATAATTTATTCGGTTATATTTTATGCTTTATTTCTAATTTGTTGTTAATATTGTTTAGATTTTATTAGATTGCAAAAGTTGACGTTACTCGTTCGAATTTAATATTACGCAAATGATAGTTCGATGCGCTGGTATCTGTCGTATTAGGTGAAGATAACCTCGATTGTGGTTTGCATATTATCTCACTTTCACTTTCCGCTGACATTGATAGAAGCAAACAATCGATATCAAAATACATAATATTGTCAGCAATGTCAAATACGGTACAACTAGTTGTAATTCATCACAAAACTGAACCAAAAAATACTAATTTTTGCAAAGTAAGAAATGAAAAGCCAAAACGGGGCAAAGGTTTTTTCTCAATTATGAGATATCAGGTCTAAAAGGACAATTGTTTTACAAATAATTAAGATAATTAATAAAACACTTACTTCGCATTCTAAGTTGGACTTTTATATTTAATAACATAGAAACCTAAGTAGGTTTTTCGTTACACCTTAATTATTTGTGTAACGATTGTCCTTTTAGCCCTGAAGATGTCTCATAATTGAGGCGACACTTAGGTTGTTGGTCTCGTAAAAATAAAAACCATTGTCCCATTGTAATTTTCTATTTCTCATTTTATACAATTGTTGTTGAAGAAATGACAACTAGTTTTTACATAATTATTATTGGGGGCTGGTGGGATAGTTTCGGAAGTTAACTAACGAGAGCTGCAAATTCTTTCATTGTTGCAAAGGCTTATCATTATCGGATGGTTGCAGCTTATTTTTAATGTTTTTTTAAATGTAATAAACTTTGGGTATTTTCCGAAATTAACGAAACAATCTTGGATGTAGATTGCAGCAGTCTTTTTCGAGCGTAATTGTCTCTCCTTTATTATCCGAATACTTGCTCACTTTAACAGTTGATCGGCGAGAGAATATTTTGCTCGGTTTTTGCTTTAAACAGTAACTAAAGAATTGTTCCAAAAATAAGTATGTTATTTGTATATGAATTTACTTTAGATTTGTCTTTTTACATTTGTACTACAAAGTGAAAGTAATAATTCATCTATTTAACACATAAATGTTGTAGGGTAACTTCCATCTTTAAACAACTTCACCTTATGTTTAAGGATAAGTTATATCACCAACCTATATGTTTTACGTCAGTAAAAACACTGCTGGACCTTATATGGCACCGCACTGGAAAACCGTTGGTACCATGACATACTACGTATTTGTTTACATAATTATCCCCTGTCGGAGGTTACTAATTACCTTCCATTTCAGAATAATTTCACGAGCGCCTTTTTATGTTTAAGTTATTTTATGTGTTTTACGTTGGCAAAACTATTGCCGAAAAATACCTTGTATGACACCGCACTAGGAAACCGTCGGTACTATAAGATTCTACGTACTTTGTCACATAATTATCCCCTGTCGGAGGTTACTAATTACCTTCCAAGTCAGAATAATTTCACGAGCGCCTTTTTATGTTTAAGTTATTTTATGTGTTTTACGTTGGCAAAACTATTGCCGAAAAATACCTTGTATGACACCGCACTAGGAAACCGTCGGTACTATAAGATTCTACGTACTTTGTCACATAATTATCCCCTGTCGGAGGTTACTAATTACCTTCCAAGTCAGAATAATTTCACGAGCGCCTTTTTATGTTTAAGTTATTTTATGTGTTTTACGTTGGCAAAACTATTGCCGAAAAATACCTTGTATGACACCGCACTAGGAAACCGTCGGTACTATAAGATTCTACGTACTTTGTCACATAATTATCCCCTGTCGGAGGTTACTAATTACCTTCCAAGTCAGAATAATTTCACGAGCGCCTTTTTATGTTTAAGTTATTTTATGTGTTTTACGTTGGCAAAACTATTGCCGAAAAATACCTTGTATGACACCGCACTAGGAAACCGTCGGTACTATAAGATTCTACGTACTTTGTCACATAATTATCCCCTGTCGGAGGTTACTAATTACCTTCCAAGTCAGAATAATTTCACGAGCGCCTTTTTATGTTTAAGTTATTTTATGTGTTTTACGTTGGCAAAACTATTGCCGAAAAATACCTTGTATGACACCGCACTAGGAAACCGTCGGTACTATAAGATTCTACGTACTTTGTCACATAATTATCCCCTGTCGGAGGTTACTAATTACCTTCCAAGTCAGAATAATTTCACGAGCGCCTTTTTATGTTTAAGTTATTTTATGTGTTTTACGTTGGCAAAACTATTGCCGAAAAATACCTTGTATGACACCGCACTAGGAAACCGTCGGTACTATAAGATTCTACGTACTTTGTCACATAATTATCCCCTGTCGGAGGTTACTAATTACCTTCCAAGTCAGAATAATTTCACGAGCGCCTTTTAATGTTTAAGTTATTTTATACGTTTTTCGTCGGCAAAACTATTGCCGGAAAATACCTTGTATGACACCGCACTGAGAAACCGTCGGTACTATAAGATTCTACGTACTTTGTTACGTAATTATCCCCTGTCGGAGGTTAC